CGCATTTTATGTATGCAGAGTCTTCATATTTTAAGATTATCTACTGATTGCTAAATAATAAATTATAATGAAGATGAATTATGATGGTCGGGTTCTCCACACTGCAACAAACTTTACTAAGACAAAAACAGCTAGATTTTCCTAATAAATGCTTGCTGTCTAATACTTCAAACTGAATTTAGCCAGCATCCAATGTAAAAACTATCTGCACTGATTTAGTCTCATAAAGTTCAGAGTTGTCTTTTTCAAATGATACTTCTTTTTTAAATGATACTTCATATGCCTTCAGAGGCTATCAATGAACACCTAGTTTTGTATGCAAACAAAAAGCCATTAAGAAATCTAAAAAGATAAAGATCTAACTGTAATAACATTTTTAGAAATACTTAAGGTAATATACACTTTATTTTTAAATATTATGAAGCATAGTTCAAACAATGTATTAACTGAAAAGATAAATTTTTACTCACAATCATACACTCTCATAAGTACCTCCATTAATTCAGTTTACTACACTAGCATTTGAAGGACTGCTCTTAAAAAAAAAGTGTGCAAAATTGCAGGTTATTAAGATAAAAATAATTTAAAAAAAAATAAACATAAAAAACCTCACCATTAACACAAACACACAAACAAATTAGAAAAAAAAATTAAAAAGGCAGGGCAGAACAGTATTTAGAGTTTGTTCATTTTTTATAATTAATAGCTACAGATCTAACAAAATAAATAAAATAAAATGTAATACATACTGCTTTCAAAGCCAAGCAAACAATTAAAGCTAATCAGGTTATAAGCTGCTCTCATCTCATGAATGTCACATCCTCTGCAGGAAGGAAATGTGTTAAGCAAATGTCAACCTGTTCGAATTTTGAGAAACTAACAACATGCAAGACAAAATGTCTAGCAACTAGGAAGTTACAGCTCACTATTTCTTAGTCTGAACCCCAATTAACTGAATCCAAATGAAAAAAAAACAACTTTTTTATTCTGATTCCTCCTCTTCAAAAAATTTTTGCCAATTCCTTCTACTTAAAAATTAAAATACCAAATCTACAATAACATAGCTAAAAAAAATTGTGTGGTTTTCTGATGGAATCCAACAGTGGTTGAATGATGTCTGTATTCTCCCCCATCCCTCAGATCAAAAATCAGCTTACTGCTTACATGTCCAGCATTCAACATAAAGGTTTGAAAGTACTGGGCTTTGTTTCTAAATGTGGTTTTTACTTTTTAACACCACCCTTCTCTCCCAGGGAATATGCTGCATCAAAAATTACTTAAAATTCATGTTAAACATTGAACAGATAAGAATACTATTACTGATGGACTATAATACTAATCATGCACTTACTAAAGCTTCTTTTTTGGTATCAATATAAACACAAGGTATTCAGCCACTAGAAGAAGTGGCTACTTCAATAGGAGTTCTGAAATAATACAGTTTTTATATTGCCATGGAGACAACTGGTCCTCACCTTCAATGTGACTGAATGGATGGTTTAAAAAGATTAAACCACAGATGTGATGCAGACCTCTCACCTGTCCTTTGCTTCCTCATTCTGATGAGAATGCACAGCTATGACACATTCAGTCCAACACGGCAGTTAAGACTGAGCACGAAACTGTTACATAGTAACACAAGTTTGGTTTCAGTAGCATTATTTACCACAACGAGGAGAGATTAATTTTGAGAGAAGCAGAAAAACATTGGGGAAAAAAGGCTTGTTTCCCTTTGTATTCCTTCACTTGCACAAGCACAACTCCTCCCTGCCATTCACAAGTAAAACTGGGCAAGTTAATACCAATACCTTCTGACATTTCATGCCAAAGTTCTCACCAGCTGATCTAACAACATACTACTCTTTCCCAAGCCTTTAGAATCTGAACTTTGAACGGCTGAAATATCTAGACACAAGTTTTAAAGAACCATCACCTAAGAATTTAGAACTTCAAAGGAAAACTAAGATCTTTAAAAGTGAATGGCAATTTTTGCAGTCCATTTTCAGTACTTCAAAGGGACCACGATTCAATCTGAGGTACTCGTGGCCCTACAGTAAGGCCTCCTCACAGTACATACAAATACCACCAGCAACAAAAAGTAACTTTTTGTAACATTACCCCCATAGATGAGTTACAATTTGGTAGAGGAGCTCCAAGGATCTGAACTGTAAATCCCTGACCATCACAAATTGGCTCATCAGATTTACCTTGAAGCTTGACTTTCATTTTCTCTCATTTCACAGAACAGGACTTCTATGTAGATATGTACTTGAAGAAGCAAAGAATGAAAGTAATGGGATAAAATCATAAATAGATAGGTACTACTCACAGAAAGCCACTGGACATGCTACTTGAGAGAAAATAAGGGACTTTTTACGTGCAAGACCTGCCTAAATCACAGAGAGGATTTAAATGCAGCAGTGCAGGGGATGGTGGTACAAACAGAGGTACAGAACAATTCTGCTATAGTCCTGTGCTAAGACTCCATAAGGAACAGGGTCTCAGCTTCAAGGAGAAGCCAGTTAAGAAGTTTGAATGAGTGTTCAGGTAATTCTTGCACACCTTTATCAATAAACCAGAATACTGCGAAGTACTTCAAACATTCCAAGACCTAAGTTATTTGAAGAAAACAGGAACCACTAAGGAGCAGAGTGCCTGCAAGGCTACTGTCCTGTGCCTGGGGTGTCCATTCAACTGGTTTTCTCCATTTAGCATGAGAAGTAGTTTCTTACGCAAGCCCAAAAATTCACAGAACTGCTCTAGTCCAGCAGCATTAGAACAAGACTTTTTGGATTACACTCTTACATAGCACTTTCTCTGCATCTTAGACCAACAGAAGAAAAAGGAACAATCAAGTAAATATAGGCCTCTTAAGGAAATAACAGTGCTACAGAGCAGTGGAAAATCCCACTTCCAGAATTTATGGCAGTCTTTAAGTTACATAGAGAGAGAACCAGAGATGCTTTCACTCTACAGTACCACAGCAACTGTAGGTACAATCATCCTAGGAGGGAGGGAATCCGTCCCATTTACAGTAGGGCTTGAGAACTGTGATGGTTGTATTGAAACAGCTACTTGAGGAGATCACTTAGGGTTCAAGGTTCTGGATGTGATCACAGTAATGGTGAGTACATAGCAAAACCCTGTAGTCTTTCATCTATCATGACAGCAAAGCTTCTGGAGAGAGTACACGTGTTAATTGCATTGCGTACTGCAAAAATAATCAGTGCCCATAGTGCATCCAATATTGTGCTGCATTCATTAAATTAGCTTAGGATATATATTTTGAGCTGTAAAAGGAAATGTTGACTAGTTTGAGAAAACATACTGCTAGTGTTTATGAAGTGGGGTGAGGAAATGTGAAGCTTTTTTTTTTTTATTGCATGTATTTAAAATACCAGAGTTCTTCCTCAGATAGAGTCTCTTCATTGTTCTAAGAAAGCCTAGGTGTTCTTCCAGGGTTTCATAAAAAAAAAAACAAAAAAAAAACAAAACAACAAAAACCCAAACCCACATCCAAGGTGGCTACACAAAATGCAGAGAGCTCATGAATATTTGGGAGTCAAGAGTTACAGATCACCAGACACCAATCATACAGTGTGGTATCTTTAACCTTAAATCTTTCAAATACAAGAGTAAGGATAGAAAAAGGTGTATCTCACTGTTTTTCTGCTTCTAGCCTGTGAAGGCACAGTTTTGTCATGGGTTTAACTAATATTCTTTGATTCAGACAGTACAATCATATCATGTGCCATGTACATCCGTCTTCCAGGCTGAAATGTTATTCAGCTCTTCATGAGCTATCAATATCTCTTATGTAGGTAGAAAAGTCATCCATTTCATTATTTTACAGTCTATCTCCATGTTTTGCATAGTGTAAGAGTGGTGTTTACAATGGGACCTCCAACATGCCGTCATGAGGTACAAGTGGGACATCCAAACACATCAACCAGTTGTGTTAATGAGAAAGTTTTAGTTTGTACTATTTCACATTTCAAATTCAAATGCTTTTAAGTATTACCTATCATCATATGAATTTTATTACATTTCAGTCAATCTTCAAAATTATAACAAGAGAACAATAAAAGCAACAAATAAATTGTTCTCTTTGGTTTTACAATGGACTAGAAATCTGATTTTTAAATACTTTAACACATAACTCTCACAGCCATTACAATATAGGAACCTTTTCCATCCTTCGATTCTCTTAATACATACAAAAATGAATCTTATAATACAGATACAGTTAAAAATATGAATTAATTTCACCTGTGATTCTACAGTGTATTGTAAATGACTCTATGCTGAAGTGTGTTCAGAATCCTCAAGAAAATTGTAAAAAAAAAAAGTTAATAACTTTTAAGCCTAAAGCGTTTGAAGGAAACCTACAACAGTGAAACTTTCAGAGCTACCACAGCATAGCAATGGATGAAGCCATCATCAACCATGGTCCAATATTTACTGAAAGCTGCTACGTTCAAATCAATGCTTATGCTATAAATAATAAGAAATGTGACATCTGTATTTCCCAGCAGACCAAAGGTATCTCATCCACTGACATATTCAAGCAAGATCCACCAGCCTTAAGCCACTCTTGAAGTCATTTAAATTTCATTTGACATTCCACGTATCTTCAGTTGAGTCACTCCTCTTTCTCCTGCCTCATAGACTGATTTTAACAGACGCTAATTACATTCTAAAGATACTTTGAATTCAATTACATCCTAAACCTCACAAACACACTCAAGCACACACCTACCCTGTGCCACAAGATCAAAGATGGTAGTGGTTAGGCTTAAGATACCCTAGTAAAAAACAAGGTTTGGGTGGAGGGGAAGGGGTAGAGGAATAGAGAAAAGGAAGAAATTTGTTATATGCAGCACTGCATTTTGCATTAGGTAATGTTTTAGACAGTCCATTTCTTAGATATCATATTCAGGCAAGTACAATTTGGTTATGTCTTGGTAATTGGCTGGTTTTCAACTTTGTTTTTCCCCTAGATACCATTGTCTATGAATGTGTCGACATTTCTTGCTTATGATCAGCCCACAATAAGTTACTGTGGAGTACATCATGAACTGCTTGCTCACAAGCCCTATGACTCGAATAACCAGGAAGAAACAGTGGAAACACACCTAGAAACTGACCTGGATCTGAGCACAATAACAACAGCAGCACGAATCAAGGAACACAGTCAGCAGCTGGCTTAACTGGGCTGGAGTTTTTTTGTTGTCCTTTTTTTCCTGTAGCAGAGGCTGCAACCAAATTCTATGTAACATTATGGACAGAAGTTAGAAGACATATATTATGGATTCTAGGATCCCTGTTCAAATTAAAAATTGATCACAAAGATTAATTGTTTCGAGTCTACAATTTGTAATTACTTAAGTTGTGCAGTATTTTTTTGACTTCAAAGTATGACCCTTCAAGTGAATCTTTTTCAAAACTCATCCTACCTACCTGTATAAACTGTACAGATGTAATGTATTTTTCATATTGTAAAGTTTCAATTTCCAAGAACAGCTGGTATGTACAGTACCATAATTTAATTACATCCTAATTTACAAGTTTCAGTTTCAAAAGCTTCAAATTAACAAAAGTTATTTCTTGTGTTATTAAGTTACTCTGTTTTGTAGGGATCATTTTGTTACTGCTTTTGTGCCCAGAAAACTTTAATCTAAAATTCTGTCCTTTGCAGAATATGCACCGTTTTTACTGTGTTTAGTGTGTAGAATTTTATCTACTGGTTCCAGAAGTAATGCATTAACCAAAAGGAGGGTTTAACTATTCAGACTTCTAAGAAATTCTTGAAATACACAAGCAAGTTTTCTTACAAATGAAAATATAAAAAAAGTAACAATTCTCCTCAAACTTACCTGTTGCCTTGAAATACAGTCTGATTTCAAAATCAGAAAAACGTAATGGTAAACAGATATATTTTAACAACAAAGTTTATGTATGCACTCTTGGCTGATGCTGATGTTTTGTAAAGTCTCACTGTTCTTCAAGACAATATGGACAGGAGACTTCACTAGGCAGCTGTCTTTACAAAACCTGCTGGGAAAGTATAGCCTGCCAAATTAGGCATTTGTATTTCTACTTAGAGACAAATGGGCACAAAACCTACTTCTGTCAAAGATAGCTGTTGATAAATGTGGCAACAGAAACAAGCCTTTGGAATTATTCTACTGCTGGTATATAAATTGCTACTGAAAAGTAAGAAACCTCTACTTTGCTGAAAAATACAGTAATTTGGACCAAATGGTAAAGGGTAATAATCCTTTAACATTCTGATACATCAAGCTAAGAAACAAAAACACAAAAAAAAAAAAAAACCACCAAAAAAAAAAAAACAACACCCCAAAATCAAAAAAGAAAACACAAAACCTTTAAAGAATTAAAAAAAATGTAATATTAAGTCTTTAACAATTACTACATTGCTTCTTTGTCTAGCATTTAATATCTGGATTGAAGCATTCTTATACCCCATTCTTTGGTTTTAAATCTTCAAGAATTCTTGATACTTTATGAGAATAACTTTTATAATACTACCCTCATGCTGTAATCAATAAAAGATTACAAAAATTAGAAACACATTATATCATAGCAACTTATTGAATTAAAAAGGGAACCTGAGCCTTCCAAAATATAGGAGAAAAAACTTTCATATGGTGAAGCAACATTTTTTTATAATAAAGAGAAATTATATAACCACAAATCTATTTTTCTGAATGTTTATCCTACCATATTTCCATGTAGCTTCAAAGCAGAAGACTGAAATTTAAAATTACAGTTCAATTGTTTGTATAAAATATAAAGCAAATATAATGAAAAATAGCTTCAAAATATTGTTAACAAATTATTCTGCATTCACTATCTTTTAAGTGGAAACAAAGTATCAAAACAATACATTGTATCAGATGTTTATTTAGCATTTAAATTTTGTAACATATTTTGCATAAATTATTTGCTATTCAAAACATTACTTGTCTTTTTAAGACTCATCTTAAACCTCCATACTTCAGTTTCTTATTTCTTTTCTACATGGGTTCTTGGATTTCTGGTAATCTTCTACAGTGCTGGCATTTTACTACGCAGTTTCAAAATGCATTTTGCCAATTATAACATTAAACCAGAAATGCAGGCGTCATTCTGGAGCCGAGTGACTTTTGTACAGCAGGAAGAAGTTAACTGCTTCAATGAAAGTTGTTTTAATTTTTAATGTTTAGGCATGCTGGTCATAATAGAAGGCCTGAGCTGTTAGGATCAAATATCATCCTCCTAAAAGATTATTTCAGTTATTCTGTCCTCCTTATTCTTTACTTTGACCCACTGCCCTCAGATATTTATGGTGCTCAGAAGTGGTCCTGGCGCCAATGCAGTTACTCAAAGTGCACAATGTTCAAAGGCTCCAGGTACTTCTAATTTATGGAGAACTGCATGACATGACTATTTTCAACGTTAGACACTCTAATGAGCCTAGGATAAGGAACATGATAAAATATTTTCTTATGCCAAGTGACAAAATCTTTTTGACATTATCTAGTTAAACAGTCACAATTGGGTATGTATTCACACACACACAAATGTTTCTCTTTCTTTTTTTTTTTCCTCAATGATGAAGCATACACTAATAAACCTGGTTTGTCTTGGACCTCTCCTGAAAGACTTGTAGTTTCAGACCAACATATCAATACACAAGTGGTACAATGGCATGGTCACAGAAGCAGCAACAATTTTGCACCTCACATTTGCAGTGCCCGCTGTAGTGCCAGGCTCTCTGTGACCCCAATGGGACATACCAGTGCTCTGAATGACAGATACAACATCCCAGGGCCAAATGCAGCAATCGAATACATGCCAACCCCAAATTTAAATGTGTTGAAACATATTTTTCAGTACAAATAACTGGATACCTTTTTCTTAATGGACTATATCAACCTGAAATCTGCTATTCTCAACAAGATGACTGTCTTCAAGAAAACTAAATGGCAGGTAGGTACCTTCCCTGAAAAAAAAATCACTATAATGAAAAAAACGTGTTCTGGTTTAACCCCTGCCAGCAACTAAGCAACACACAGACACTTGTTCACTCCCCCATGTCAGGGATGAGAGAGAATTAGAAAGTGAAAAATCTCACAAGCTGAGATAAAGACAGTTTAATAAATAAAGCAAAAGCTGTGCACACAAGCAAAGCAAAGCAAGGACTTAATTCACTAATTCCCATCAGCAGACAGATGTTCAGCCATCTCCAGGAGAGCAGGGCTCCATTATGCATAATCATTACATGGGAAAACAAACATCGTTACTCCAAATGTCCCTCCCCTTCCTTTTTTTTCCCCATCCTTCTGTGCTGAGAAAGATGTCATATTACATGGGATGTCCCTTTGGTTAGCTGAAGTCAGCTCTCCAGCTGTGTCCCCTCCTAACTTCTTGCGCACTCCCAAGCCTCCTTGCTGATGGGCTGGTGCGAGATGCAGAAAAGGCCTGGACTCTGTGTAAGCACTGCTCAGCAATAATGAAAACACCCCCGAATTGCCAACACTGCAGCACAAATCTACAACATAGTCCCACAGTAGCTACTACAAAGAAAATCAACTCTACCCCAGCCAAAACTAGGACACTAGGTTAAGCTAACACAAACATGGACTCACTCACAACGTTCTATGTCAGTGTGTGTACACCTGCTTTTCTACAGGTAATTGCAAAATATACTGACTCAGCATGCACAGAAATAGTAAACGCTTTAGTTATGTGGACAAAACAAAAAAGTATCACCTAATACAGCCCCAGTCTTCTAAGCTACAAGTTAGCAAGAAGAAAGTACGCCAAGCCTATGGGCTCAAATATCTATTTACAGAGGGTTACTTTCATATATCATTTCCCTTTGTAATAAGATCCATAAACCACAAATAGAGGTAAGCCAACAGCATCAATCTCAGTATTACAGTTAAGTGACACCACTATATACTGGTAGATCATTTCATCAAGAAAAAGCTAGGTGAATTCATTATTCTTGCAAAATACAAACTGATGGAGAGCATAACTTCCATCAATAAAAAAAAAAACAGACAATTTTAAAAATAAATCTAGCTAGAAGAAACAATTTACACCATCCATCACTGGATCATGCTTGTACAGCCATTTACAGGGCTGAAACACCCATTAGGAAATTGAGAACAGGTATCTGAATGGAGGTCCTATGTGAAGGCGATATATAGGAAAATTAGTGATTAATCTGACAAATTACTGCAATTGTTTCAAGACATAAAAAAACAACAAACACCAAAATAACATCTGTACAAAAAAAAGCAGATGATTGCTTCAATTAAAAAGTGATCAAAATTTTCAGTATGAGGTGTTGTACAAACTATTCACAAGACATCTGAGAGCTACCACTAACACCAAGAAATATACACAATTTTCAGAATTAACTCACAAACATCAGACATTTTTTGCAACACAGAGTGAAAAAAAAAAAAATGTACCTACCTCAGAACTTGTGTACCAGTGTGCTTCACTGACAGCCACTCAATCTCTCCCCTTCCCTCTCACAGCATTTTTTATCTCTTACTGTTATTTGCAATCCTCAGGTTGGACAAGGGAACAGAAATTGTGCAAAAACCACAATGTGAATGATAAATCAAAACAAAACTGAAAGGGCAACATCACCAAGTAGAAACATATAGCCTACATTCCAGTATTCCAGAACTGCAATAAATTCTCAAAATTCTTTTATTAGCAATACAGATACTCAAAGATGGTTAAAGTAAACAAATTACAAGATCCTGGGTAGTGCCAAACAAAAGCAGCTATATTTAGCTCCCAACTGGTCTAGCAAAAGTAGTCTGTTGAACAGATGAGACAGAACAGTACAACTCATGTTTCCTCTACCGATCCTCCTCTACTGAGTGAAAGATCTTTGTGTCCCAGATTTTTGCATGTGTGTTAGGGGCCTGGGCTTCCTGAAGGCAAATCTTACCAGTAAAGGCATCAATATCTGTAATGAACATAATAATGGTTTTACTTCATCAGATCAAAGATACATTTAGGCTTGATAAACTGTCCCAAACAGCAGCCAAAAGATGAAACCCAAAGAACTAAAGAATGGAGCAAGCACCCAGCATTATTTCCCCAGAATGCCCCTACGGTCCCCAACAATTTGTAGGTCTGGGACTTACTGAGCCAAATGTCATGTCTTAATAGTCACTCTTTGAATGTGTGCACGACTTCTCTGAAACCACATAAATCTGTCACATTCACAAGTCCTGCAGAAAGTAAATTTACATTGACAGGAAAACTCTCTCTTCATTGTTCTAGTAGAAATAAAAGATAGAGGAGTGTAATAATAATATTTCTCACTTCCATTTTTGAAACAGAAATATCATAGAATGGTTTGGGTTGGAGGAGACCTTAAGAACATCTGGTTCCAAACCCCCTGCCAAATGCAGGGATGCATTCCACTAGACCAGGTTGCTCAAAGCCTCATCAGCCTGGCCTTGAAGACTTCCAGGATGGACCATCCACAGCTTCCCTGAGCAACCTGTTCTAGTGTCTCACCACCCTCACAGTAAAGAACTTCTTCCTAATATCTTATTTAAATCTACACTCTTTTCAGTTCAAAGCCATTCCTCCTTCTCCTGTTACTACAGATTATTTTTGTAATGATAATCTAATCTAAATCTACCTTCCTCCAGTTTAAAGTCATTCCCTCTTGTCCTATCACTGCATGCCCTTGTATAATGTCCCTCTCCAGATTTCAGTCAGTCCCCTTTTACGTACTGGAAGGCTACTATAACGTCTCCCTGGAGCCTTCTTTTCTCCAGGCTGAACAACCCTAAGTCTCTTGGCCTGTCTTCATAGGAGAGCTGCGCCAGCTCTCTGATCAGCTTTGTGGCCTTCCTCTGAACTGAATCCAACAGGTCCACATCCTTCTTATGTTGGGCAGTGTGGCTGGAGCACTTGCTGCTGAAGACCAAGGCAAAAAAATCAGAGAACGCTTCAGCTTTCTCCATATCCTGGGCAACCAAGTCCCTCATTTCCTTCTGGAGAGGGCCCACATTTTCCTTAGTCTTCTTTTTACCACTGACGTACCTAGACAAGCATTTCCTTGATGTCCCTTGCTGGATTTACTTCTGTCTGGCTTCAGCTTTCCTAACGTGATCCCTGGCTACTTGGACAATTTCTCTGTATTCTTCCCAGGCTACCCATCCTCACTTCTACCCTCTGCAGGTTTCCCTTTTGTACTGCAGTTTTCCCATAACCTCCATGTTCATCAACACAGGCCTCCTGGCATTTTTGCCTAACTTCCTCTTTGTTGGGATGCATCACATCCGGAGCTTGGAAGAGGTGACCCTTTAATATTACCCAGCTTACTTGGGCACCTCTTCCCTCCAGTGCATTATCCCATGGTACTCTACCAAGCAGATGTATGAAGAAGCCAAAGTCTGCTCTTCTGAAGTCCAGTATAGCAAGCTTGCTGCACACCCTCCTCACTGACCTACCAAAATTTCATGGTCACTGCAGCCAAGGCTGGCCTCAAGCTTCACATTCTCCAGACACTCTTTATTGGTGAGAAAAAGGTTCAGCATAGTAACTCTGCTTCACCAAGCCAACGCTCCTCTACCAGTTGCAGAAGGAAGTTATTATCAGCGCGTTCCAGGAACCTCCCAGATTGCTTATGTTGTGCTGTGTTGTCCCCCCAACAGATATTGGGGTGATAGAAGTTTCCCATGAGGACCAGGGCTTGCAAAATATAGTTATCACATACTTACTAATGACAGACTGCCAATTTCCAGATAGCTTAAATAACAGCCATCCAGTCCTCTAATGTACAGAAATAAGCTGAAAGCCTGTACATTTACTTATCAGATTACCCTTAGAGATGGATTCTAAATCAAGATCAA